GGGGGGGGGGGGTGAATTTAATTGATTTCAGCAAATGGCTGCAAAATGACAGAGAAAAATTGACGGGAGCCTGAAAACTTTCCGTACCCTCTGTAATTGACCTCCTTTAACTGGGGAAAGAAACTACCCTCAACTTTTAGTTCCACCCTTTAGCAGTTGTTAAAATCAGTCTTGGAGGAACTGCCTTTCGTTCAGCTGTGAACCACCCCAAAGCCTGATGGAGGTTGAGGCTTGAAGACACCAACAGAACCACAACATTTGCAAAAAGTAGAGATGAAACCCAGGCATTCCTAAAGCAGACTCCCACATTTCCATGACTATTTCATGTTTATGTTTATGTTTATGTATTTAGCAGATGCTATTGTCCAAAGCGACTTACAAGTGATGATCGGCATGTTGCCCTTGAGGCCAACAACAATAATAACAACAACAACTTGACATCAATCACGGAGAAGAGGGAACAAAGAGTGGACAGTAGAGAGGGGGGACGTGTGCAGGGAGGGTGCTAGTTTAGAAGATGCTATCTGAAGAGCAGGGTCTTCAGGAGTTTCTTGAAAATTGAAAAGGAAGCCCCTGTTCTGGTAGTGCTTGGTAGGTCATTCCACATTTGTGGAACGATGCATGAGAAGAGTCTGGATTATCCTGAGCGTGGTGTAGGCACTGCTAGCCGACGACCCTGTGATGACCGGAGCGGCCGGGCCGAGACGTAAGCCTTTGCAAGAGGATTCAGGTAAATGGGAGCCGTATCATCTCGGACTTTGTATGCTAGTGTTAGCAATTTGAATTTGATGTGTGCTGCTAGCGGTAGCCAGTGGAGCTTAATGAACAGAGGGGTGACGTGTGCTCTTTTTGGCTGATTGAAGACCAGACGCGCCGCTGCATTCTGGACCATTTGAAGACGTCTCACAGTACATGCTGGAAGACCAGTTAGAAGGGCATCGCAGTAATCAAGGCTGGAGATGACAGTAGATTGCACCAGGAGCTGGTTGGCATGTTGTGTTAGGTATAGTCTGATCTTTCGTATGTTATACAGCGCAAAGCGGCATGAACGAGATCAGAGGCAACATGTCCTTTAAAGGTCATGTGTTCATCAATCATAGCACCCAGATTTCTAACTGCCTTTGAAGGAGCTAGAGATAGGAAGTCATTTTGTATTGAGATATTGTCCTGTATGGATGGTTTTGCTGGGATGACAAGTAGTTCAGTTTTAGAGAGGTTGAGTTGGAGATGGTGAGAATTCATCCATTTTGATATGTCAGAGAGACAGTTTGATATTCGTGCAGAGACAGTGTGGTCGTCTGGTGGAAATGACAGAGCTGGGTGTCATCTGCATAGCAGTGGTGAAGCAATGTGATCGAATGATCTCACCCAGTGAGGTGGTGTATATGGCAAGGAGAAGAGGTCCTAGTACAGAGCCCTGGGGGACTCCTGTGGCAAGATGGTGCACGGTAGAGGACTGTCCAAGCCAAGATACACTGAATGATCGTCCTGTGAGGTACAATTCAAACCAGGCGTGTGCTTTCTCCGTGATGCCCATTCTAGAGTGTGGACAAAAAGAAGCCATATTCTGTGATCTGCTTGAAAGCCACACTTTCAATGATTTTGGACAAAAAAGGGAGGAGAGAGATAGGTCGGTAGTTCTCCACATGATTTGGAGGAAGAGATGTGTTTATTAGCAGCGGTTTAACCTGAGCATGCTTGAGAGAGGTGGGAAATGTAACGGATGTCAGTGAAGCGTTGATCACATTTGTGACTGCTGCGGCTACTGTAGGAGCAATAGCTTGGAGCAGCTTAGTCGGAATGGGGTCACGTGGGCATGTAGTAGGGTGGCTGCACGTGAGAAGCGTGGACACACAGTTCTCAGTGAGAGGGGAAAAAGAAGAAAATGAAGCAGTAGGGCCTGAGATGGTTGGGCTAGAAGGAGTTTGTGGTAGTGAATGTTCAGAAGTGGCCAGTTGAGTAAAGTGTTTGCTTATAGCTGCCACTTTGTCAGTAAAGAATGAGGAAAAGGTGTCAGCTGATGGATTGTTGGTAAGAGGTGGACACGGAGGGTTGAGCAGACATTTGAATGTCGAAAATAGTTTCTGAGAGTCAGTAGAGCTGAGAATTTTGTCAGTGTATAAAGCTTTCTTTGCATCAGTGATACTGGCAGAATGAGAAATTCAATTCATCACCAGGATCTTTTGTTTTGCGCCATTTCCGTTCCACAGCTCTGAGATTGGTGCGTAGAGACGGAGGGTATCATTTAGCCAAGGATGCGACTGAGAGGATCTAGCAGGTCTAGTGGCTAAAGGGCACAAGTTGTTGAGACAAGAGCAGAGTGTGGGGCAGAGTGGCTCAGTGGCATCATTCCCTTCATAAGCCGAGAATGTGCTGGGAGATGAAAGAGTGGAGGCAACAAGAGAGGAGGAGTGGTTGGGTGCCAGATTGCGGAGGTTGCGGGGGAATGAGACCATTGGGGAGGAAGCAGTGGACCTCCCTTGAAGAGTCGTGCTGAAATGGATGAAGTAATGATCGGAAAGATGCAGCGGTGTGACAGAGATTGTGTCTATGGCACAGTCTCAGTGAAAACGAGGTCAAGTGATTTTCCAGCTTTGTGAGTTGGAGGACTTTGTACTAGTTTTGGATCAAATGATGACATTAGTGACAGGAAGCCTGATGAGCTGGGATTGTCCAGGTGAATAGTCATGTCTCCAAGGACCACTGTGGGACAGTCGTGCTCAGGAATGGAGGAAAGCAGGGTGTCAAGTTCATCAAGAAAGTCTCTGAGTTGACCTGGTTGGCGAAATATGACAACCAAAAATAATTTTTTCGGTACAGTTACCTGGATGGCATGGTATTCAAAGGAGTTGTATTCAGTGATGGGTAGCAACTGACTGTATATCATTTGCTGGAAATTAACATGCCCGTTCCACCACCTCGGCCAGATGCACGAGAAGTGTGGGAGAAAATGTGGTTAACTGAGAGAGCAGATGGGGTAGCATTGTCACATGGTTTGATCCAGGTCTCAGTGAGAGCCAGTGCATCAAGTGGCAGGTGGTTTGCATATGCGGTAATGAAGTCTGCTTTGTTTACAGCTGACTGGCAGTTCCACAGTCCCATAGACAGGTGGGTGTCTTCAGGGGGAGTTGGTTTTTAGCAAGCTGAGGTTTTGAAGGTTGCGAAAGCGGTTTGCTGTGTGTGACGTTCCTCTGAAGCCAGTGATCACAGGTATAGGATAATGGCACATTTTGCAAGGTGTCGATGGAGCAGCATCTGGGTCGAGTTTGTTTGCTCTGTGTACTTGCACTGTGGACACGCGCAGGTAGACACGTATGTCTTTACCCCGGAGTGTCTTCACACCGGAGGGGCTGAGACACAAGGGCTGACGCTTCAGTTATGCCACCAAACTTATGCTGTGCTACGAGTTGGAAACAGGTGTTCATGAAGCAGCTGATATCAATGGTTGAGGCCTAGATCACCTGATGAGTGTTTTCAGGGAGGGGAGAAACAGCTCGTTCACAGCCCCTGATTGCACTTGTTTTCAGTTGGCCCAAACCGGAGCTACTAGACAACAGGATTACCCACAGATGAGTTTCCTTCTCTTTCCCAATGGAAGATAGTACTTGTTTTTGTCTTCTTAAACTTTTGCTTTGCACTAACAGATACTCAAGGCCCTTCGGTGCAGATTTAAGACTATTTCTTGAGATCCTGTAAATAAATATCACATTTTTCATCAAGGACAAACAGTGCCCTGGCAGTCTTCAGTGTACGTTGGACCAATAGGGAATTGAGGTCAAGAACACTATTATAGTTCTGATTTTAGTTGCACAGGAACTACGTAGCGTTTATTAACTTTCTTCATGCAAGTTTCCTTGCTCTTGTGCTGGTGATGTTTTGAATATGTGCAAAAATATGAATTAGACCCCCCCCCCCCCCCCCCCCCTGAAAGAAAGAAATAAGAAAAAAAATTCAAGTTCATGGAACCCATCCAGAGCTACTTCAATTTAATTTTTGCGGATAAGAAGGTATGAGGAATGGGAGACGGCATTGGGAGGGGTTGATCTGTGAAACAAAGATGTGATTGACTGGAGACAACAGTGCTATCATGCAAACCGTGCTACTTATTTGCAGTTTTAACATGCAAAAGGAACCATTTCAGAGTGATTCCAACTTGCAGTTGTTTCTCCAACTCTCTAAAAAGACAAGCAGCCCAGTAAAATATTGATCCAAGTTAAAGTACTGCATTGATTAGGTGCTGTTGTATAGCAAACACGTCCCAATTTCAGCTGTAGACACAAAACTCTTAGATCTGTGTCACAGGTGAGAAGACAATAATGTTAACTGGGTCAACGATTATTTCTGCAGTCTGAAGACAGGTGGTGATGCTCCGAGGCCTCCAGAACCACAAAATCTGGACAAAGATAAGTTGTGTGAGAGAGAGAGGCTCATATTTCAAATTACTTTACCATGCAGAACACCAACAGAAGTGTCAAAAGTTGTCAGATCAGCAGAACTTCTAAGTGTTTAAGCATCCTGCTCTGCATACCACTAACCAGAGGCTGCTGTCATCACTTCATAAAACAACCCAAAAGATCCTGTATTAAATATTAAACGTCAGTCATTACTTAAAATACTTAAACTCATGAGCTCCATTGAAAGTAAAATTCACTATTACATATACATTGCAATAAACTGGATCGGTGACAACAAAAGTCATACTCATTCACAAGACACACCTTGTCCTATCTTAACACTCGATATATGCACAGAGGACCCACATGGAATAGTTGAGGAAAACACCTTGTTGGTGTGTGTCCATCCTGATTTATCTGATATATCTGCTCAGTAATGTGGAAAGCAGCCAACCCTCTTTACAGAGGGCATAGCTGACTCCTCCAGGAGCACTAGCAGAATGCTAATGCTGTTACCTCCATCTTCTCTCCTTTTTGAAACGTACAAGGGCGATGCCGCATTAATCATGGATTCACATCACTCCTCCTTCACTCTCACCTACCAGAAATATAACACACACACACACACACACACACACACACACACACACACACACACACACACACACACACACACACACACACACACACACACACACACACACACACTTTTGCTTTCCAAAGCAGCATCATTAAGAAGACCTGTTTTGACATGGTCCATAAAATCTGAATGTCACCTAAACCCAAAAGACAAGAGTTTGTTTCATTCATTTAATTAGACTGTCTACCACTGATAAATGCCGTCCCTGAACTGCACAAGAAAATATTGCACATCTCATGCACACAATCCAACATATCTTCAGAGCAACATCCACTCCAAATATGCACAAGTACATGCATATGCCCACGAACATGCACAAAAACAGTCCAACAGAGCACACAGTCATTTTCCGCTTCAATGCCCAGATCAAAGTGAGTGCGAATGAGGAACAGAAGCAGACAAATGTATCTGTGAATTCCATAACAAAGACCAGTTCAAGAGAAATTATCCACTATACTAAATAGGTAAAGACTAATGTGGAGGAAGCTAGAAAATGTAGGTTATGCTTTTCAAACGACTTTTAAAAAAAGACAAAATGTGCACGACTTTTTTATTCACCTCATTACAGTCGCTCTCGTGATGTAACAAACTAGATGTAGGTGTTTAAGTTCTTTTATCACCATCATCATCAATTTTATTTCTATAGCAGCTTCCACCACCTCTGCGGAGGCCCAAGGTGCTGTCCACTAACACAAGGAACATGATAGAAATAGATAAAAGGCGGATATTGTAAAAAATAAAAATAAAAAAAGCAATCACAGCATCAATATTAATAGTAAAAAATAAACAATAAAACCAAGTTTAACCTGGAAACTCTAAGGAATTTATGTCAAAAAAAGAAATGAAAAATCAAATCAGAAAACATAACATTGGCTCTTCCTCTTCCTCACTGGTTGTCAAAACTCTACATTCTGAAGGCTGTTATTTAACCTTCAACCTAACCCATCTTCACCATGTTGAGTTTAAAGGGGCGTGTTTGTGCATGCTGCACACCTTGTTTGTTTTTGTTATCTGGTTGTGGTGACATTACAGGTCTGGCATAGTTGTTACGCTTTTTTGGGTCCTTTTCAGTGTTTTTGTGTTTACAGAACTGATAATGACCGTGACTTTTAGACGATAAAATAAAGCCTCAAACACAGTGCTTACAGGAGCTGTTATTGTCAGCGAGGCTGGGATTGGGATTTAACTGGCGATCCACACGCAGAGAGTGGCAGGCTTGAGCTGAGAGAATCCAGGAATGTGCGAAACAGAGGAGAGAAAACGGGGATCTGTGACCACGGAGAATACGAGAGTCTGAGTGGAGAGAGGACTGGAGGTTAACATGGTGGTTTTACTGGAATCCGAAACGTGGAGTACGAGTCAGGAGCTCTGGTCGTGGCAAGACGAGCACTGAGCGTTGGAGCGGTGAGTGATAATGGTCCAATGACGGAGCAGGAAGTTGATTAGGTCCAGACGGAGTGTGTTAGTGAGGTGGGAGCCTGACATTTATAGTCGCAACGATGATGCTCATTAACACTAAGCTAATATTGATAACTTCCAGAGAAGGACTTTTCCAGTTGGTGTTACTGTTGTTCAAAAATCTAAATAAAAGCTTTTCCATCCTATTTTTGCTGTTGCGAGAACTAAGACATAATCTGTTAATCACACTTAAAGAACTAAGATCTTTAAGTAAAGCAAAGCCTGCCAGAAATAGCTATACACCTGCAGCCTTAGGGTGTGTATAACTAAAGCAAGATCAACTGATTCAGGTGATCAGCTGATTCATTAGCATTTTTAAAAATATGTGACCTTTAGTGAGAAGCTGTTGTGTGAAATCTCCTGCTGAGACATCATCAAGGAAACCAGAGCTAATTGCTGTATTAAGACCAAACTATTTCTCCTAATCAAGTGGCTTGATAAAATTCCTATCTCACAACTTATTGTGCAAAGTCAGGCAAGTATAAACTGCAGAAAAATATTCATTCATTTTCAAACTGCTTATTCCCTTTAGATTTGTAATCAAATAAACGAGTATTTTCTGCCCATCCAGCAGAATTCATTGCAAAGCTAAATGTGTGTGGTTTTTTTTGTGTGCAAATGGTTGTGTGTCTGTTGTGTCTCTGTGTTGACAACCACTCCAGGGTGTACCCCACCCGGGACGGGATTTCATTGAGTATTACCAACATATTTCATTTAAGTCAGAATAACTTGGACATGACAACTCCAGTTTTACAGTGAAAAAAGGTGTTTATTTTGACCTTTGTATTAATAATTTTTATTGCAATCAAACACTAATATTGGAAGAAGGACATAGTTGCAGATGTGATCATTGCTAAAGCCCAGTCTAAATATCCAGTTTCAGTGCAAAATGTCAGCACAGTACAGAAACTACCTCATCAGCATCACTCAATCAACTAGGAAAAAAAATACTTACTTAACTTACACTTTAGTGTACTTTTGTACTACTGGAATAAATTTGAAATGTAAACAGTGTGATGAACCAGAACGTTTTAAAATGTGTGTCTCTGTGTGTTTCTAATATTTCTGTTAGCCCTTTCCTCTTCTCTAGCCCACCTTCCTTGTTTACATTCTTTCTCGTCTCACCTTTTCATTCACTGTCTTCTATTAAATGTACTGTAACTGTACAGAATAAAGAGTGAAGATCAAAACTTGCAAAGTGTGTATGTACATACATTTCCTGCTGAATAATTGGACAGCTTAACTCTTCTCATTTTTAGTACAGCAGTTTCCTTCAGACATAACCTGAGATATTAACTTTTATTAAACTTCAAGTTCATTTCAGGTGTAACCTTAGTGTACTTTAAGTAAACCTTAAAAACATGTAAACACAGCGTATTAACAAATTACATTTCCTGCTCAAATAGTGGACAGTTCTGATATTTTAGAACAGCTGTTTACTTTTCAGAGACATTACTTTTGGGCTTGCTTTTAGGCTATCCAGCTCAAGAAATACCTTTTGAAACACTTCAAAGGTGTTTTTAAGTTCCTTTGGGTAGCTGAGATTGAGTGAGTAGATCAGTCCCATTAGCAAGGCACAGGCTCTGGGTATGTCTACTTCTTCCAGGACTTCTGTTCCCTCAATTACAATCTGGGCGCTGGCTGGATCAGATGAGGCACATCTGGTTACAATGATTTTCAACACTACGTTGGTAAGATCCCCATCAAACTTGCATAAATAGGTCAGAATTAAGATCAGATTTAAAAACACAAAAAACTGTTAAAAACAAGATTTACAAAAATTGCTTTTCTGTGTCAGATTTACCTACACACTGTTCTTTAAAGAGATTCTCCTCCTTTTCTCTGATGTACACCACCAATCCATGAATTGAAACCTCTCCTCATTTCCATAGAATCATCCTGTGAATAAGATGACAAAAATATTAACGTATTCCTATATGAGGAAGGGTTTCTAATCAGGGTTCTTTTCATTATACTTAACCCCATTTTCCATGACTGTATTTAAGTAGTTTAAAGGGGAGCTGCTGTTATTTGTAACCTGGACCTTATTTCTAGCATGCGAAACGTTAATTTAATCAATCAATCAACTTTGGTGCTATCTGAGTCCTCCGGGAGGTTTTCCCCATATATAATGAGATAATAGGTAATGTAAATGGCCTCTAAATAAGGTATTATCTGTCACAAAATGCCTTCATTTTACTAATGTTTTGGTATAAATCGCTAGCGCTACTCACCTGATAGTTCGGAGCATTGATAGTGTAATGACATGGCTGGGGTTGTAAGCCAGGTGCATTCTGGGTATTGTGTTATATGTATCCTATCGTTCTGCCAGTTCCTAGGTGTTGATTTGCGTGTTGTGTGAGTGTTGTGTTAATGTAAGCCACAGGGAAGGTGATGTGTGTTCTGTGGAGCAGGTTGAATTAGCATGGTTAACTGACACCGTGACTCTGTGTGGTAGGAGCGTGATAGAGGATCGGTGTCTGTAGTAGTGATGGGAATAAAAAAAAAAAAAAGTAGTGATGGGAATTCCGGCTCTTTTTAGAGAGCCGATTCTTTTGGCTCAGCTCACCAAAAAGAGCCGGCTCTTTCGGCTCCCAAATGGCTCCTCAGATTTTCTGTTGCGTAGAGTACATTTATAACCAAAATAATGCAAAACTATATGTAAAATGATTTACTAATGTAAACAAATGCAATATATCAAATGTTTATCATTTCTATGGATGTATTAACCGAACACTTTAAGAAATCTTCACTTTCCGACTGCTGGCGCTCATTTTCTCACCGTCTTCGTCACACTCTCCTCTATATCTTGCTCACCTTTTTCCTCCTCCTCATTCCCTCTCGTCTACCTCCACCCGCATGTACTCTGCTGTGTGTCTGAGTCTGATCCTCCCTCTTCCCCGTCCCTACTGCTCTGTGTGTGGACAGTCTGGTCACGCAGTTACACATGTTGACCAATCGCCTGTAGCGTTCACCAAAGCAAGAGGGGAGGGGGAGGGTAGGGGACGGCTCCCAATGACGAGACGGCTCCCGTCGTTCACTTCAAAGAGCCGGCTCTTAGAGCCGGTTCGTTCGCGACCGACACATCACTAGTCTGTAGCGTTACAAAGTGTTGAAGAAAAAGCCTAATAAAGGTCTGGTGTGAACCACTACTGCCTCCTGTTGGTTGATTTGGGGACTATAAACCTGCTGCTGAGACGCTCGGGGTCGCTACAATATTATCCAGGATGTTTTACAGTTATTTAGTACAACTAGCAGGCGCTTAACTGTCAGTAGCTGGCGCTTTCAGTGATGTCATGGCCACGTGCCATCTTAGTTGTTGTACAAGCAGCATTTGTACATTTTCCTACAATTCTGTAACCAACCGTCACAGAGCACAGAGTGAAAGTTCTGCTCAAACTACAACTAACCCCGGCTTTCCACAGGAGCCGTCAGCAGCACGTCACTGCAGCAGCACGTCATAGCTGCTGATAGGAACCGCTGTGGTCAACAGAACCTTTTCCACCGGAGCCGTCGGCAGCCGTCAGCAGCGCGAGTCGGCCACGTCTCAGGAGCATCATGTCGCGGCCTTTACGCGCCGGTTCTATTTTCTACGCGCGACGCCTCTGAAACGGGTCAGGTTCGACATTTTGGGGGAAGGAAAGACAGGAAATCGGACGCGGAAATGGAGCGAAGCTCCCGAGATTTTCAGAATAAAGAAACGTACTTCCTTCCGGTTGCTTTACTATCACCTAGCTAGCGGTCTACTTTGTTTTTCAGGTCCGTATTGGCGATTATAAAACGGACAGAACATAAAACACAAACATTTTGGAGCCATGTTGTAGTTTTCTCCTGCTTGTTGTTGTGTTTACTGACAGTCACGTGTGACTTCGTGCTCTGTCGGTGACAGCTGCTCCCCTGCTGCTTCGCGTCTTGTGGGAAGGGCAAAGCAGCAGCTTAAGCGAGCAAGACGTGCTGCTGCAGTAACGTGCTGCTGACGGCTCTGGTGGAAAGCCGGGGTAAGATGGCGGGCGATCGTGATGGCACTGAAAGCCCTGGCCGCTAAACCTACCTATATATATATCTCAAAAAACTCAAACGGTACCAAAATTGTCTGGATGAGTAAATAAGCATTTGCATTTTAGAAATGATGTCCAAGTTGCAAAAAACTGCAGCTCCCCTATTAATAAGAGGCAATAATGAGGTTTTTTCTCCAGGAGGAGAGGAAGAGGAGAAAATCGGGGAGAAAAGGAACATGAGGACAGATAAGGGAAAGACAGTAAAATTGGAGAAAATGGAGGAAGGGGCCAGGACAAGAGGGAAGAGGAGAAGAAGACAAGGACAGGTGAAAGAGAGAGGTTTAGAGAAGCATGGAGAAGAGGAGGAAGAAGAAGAGTATAATGCAAAGGAATTAAAAAGGAGATTGACATTACCAGAAAACAGATTTGTTTATGACTTGTTTCAAGTGCAATTTCACAAATTTCAAGCAAAATCTGCCAGTGAAATAAGATTTTTCTGCATTACAAACCCTTGTTCCACTGGCAGTTTTTTTTTCTGTTTGATCCAAGTGTTAAATTAGCTTGAAATAAGCGAATCTAACTTGGAAACAAGTAAAAAACAACTTACTTTTAGGTAATGTCTCAATGTTTAGATCAATGAGAGATTTTGACTTCAAAAATATTGAATATTTTCTGTTTGATTTTGAGTTCTTGCAGTGAAGCATGTGAAAAAAGGGGGGAAGGAGTAGAAGAGGAGTGTGGTAAAGGAAGAGGATTAGGGAAGCAGCAGAAAAGGAACCGGACAAAGGGAAAGGAGAAGAGGAAGAAAAGACAAGAAGGAGGAGCAGTGGAAAGAAAAAGAAACAGGAAAAGGGGGATTTTCTATTTTACTTGAATCACATTATTCATACCTCTTGCACCATCTTCATTATGCGCTGAATAGGCACTCTTGCAGCCCCTCCTCTTTAAGACACAAATGTCAAGCTCCGCACTAGTTTTACTCCAAAGGGACACTTTGGGACAACTCCTTCACTTTCCAACAATCTTTATTAATTTCAGTTCAGTGATTATCAGGTTGATAACCTTCAAAGAACAGAGACAAGTGTTAAAGATCACATAGTTCTTTGTTTATTGTATTTCATGAAATTTTTCTAAACTAAATCTTCCTACACTAAAAGTAAATGAATGAATTAAAACATGACTGAATCACTAAAATTGTATCAATAAATCAAGTTTTCAATCATTTAAAAAAGGGATATTAAACCATCAAGTGTAACAATGACAATGACAAATCAAATGTCTACATGCTTGAAAACACCTGTTTTCAATCAAACTCAAACAACATGACTTTAGTGGTCAACCTAAACAACTTCATATCATAAACAAAGCAATATTCACCAACCATTGGCGTCTTTAGTCAACTCATAAGTAGAGCTTGCTGTGCTGTTCCTGTTTGACTGAGGACTGAGAGCCACCATCCTGCATAGGTGTTTTTTTTATCAGCAATCAGTCGCCTTTTTGTGGGTGCATTCTGGGAGATGTAGTTCTCAGTGGTGGTGGACCAATTAGACCTCCATCTGCTCAGCTGTAACCCAACACCTCCCACTTGAGCTCATGGTTTCCCAAACCCAATGAGGTCACACAAGTACTTTGTTGTTTTGTTCTTCAACGGGAATTAGAATGACAAGGCGTCTAACATCTCTGTGAAGGATAGTGGTTGGGATTTTTTGTTTAAGCCTAATGGATTCTGCGACTGCTTTCTTTCCAGCTGCCTTTCTGATGGGAAACGGATAGCTAGGAAAGGTCCTCCCTCACAAGCACGTCTCTTACAATGCCTTTCCTGTCAGTGTTGACACTAACAACTCTGGCCAGCCTGTATTGTCCTCTCAGGGCATTTTGGTCAGCCAACCAGACCACGTCTCCAACAGCGACATTTCGCTCTTTGGTGTGCCATTTATTCCGTACAAAGAGGTTTGGTCCAGCCAATTGGCTCCACTTTTTCCAGAATTTACTGACCTCTGTTTGAATACTTTTTAGTCTTTTGTATGGGTAGCCATCAAACTGGAAGTCTCCAGGGTCTCCCTTAAGGTTTGCACGCCCCAGAAGCAGAGAATTTGGGGTGATATATCCCACACAGTCTTCCCTGCTTTGAGTTTTGGCATCAATAGGTCTTTCGTTAGCAAGGTTGGCTGCCATGAAAAGAAAGGTTTGGAATTCAACCCAGGTGAAGATGCCCTCTCCACCAAGATTGCTTAGGGCCTGCTTCACTATTTTTACAGCAGCTTCTGCTGCACCATTTCTCTGGGGAGAGTCTGCAGGATGGATCTTCCAAACAAATTCTGTCCCATGTTTGGCAGCTAGGTCTTCAACTTCAGACTTGTTCAGTTGGTCAAGGAATTTGTACAGCTTTTCCAGAGCAGGCTTGACCTCTACAAAGTTAGTGCCAGGGTCTGACCAGATCTTCCTGGGGTGCCCTCTCAGTGAAGTGAACCTTTGGTAGGCCAGAAGGAAACCTTTGGATGACTGGTCACTTACCACGCCTGTGTGTATGGCACGGGAGGCCATGCAACAGAAGACGATTCCCCATACTTTGATTTTGGTTCTTTTCTTGACTTCATCTTTGACTTCATATGGACCGAACAGGTCCATGGTAGTGAATTCAAAAGGAGCAGCTGGGCCTGTTCTCTCCGGAGGCAAGTTTGCCATTATTTGTTGACACAGTCTTGCTCTGTTCTTCCTGCAGCGCACACAACTGTCAACCACTTTCTTGGCAATTCTCTGGCCTTTTATTATCCAAGCTGTCTTCCTCATCCGGAGAAGGGTTCCCGCTACCCCCTCATGGTAAGCTGCATGGGATTCTCGTGCCAGCAGAGTAGACACCCAGGATTCATATGGCAAAACAGGCACAGCAGTCCTCTCTTCATTGAACACCTGGATTCTACCTCCACAAAGTAGCAGTCCAGTGTTCACATCTTTGTATACTGCCAATTTGCTGAGAGTTGTGTCTGGAAATGTTACACCCACTTGAGATGAGAAAAATATGTCATCGCATGCATCCTGAAGTTCTGTGTTTCTCAGTCCAGCCTGCTTAGGTGTTGTTGCAATCCATTTTTGCTGTTTTGGGTTTGAGGTCCTCTTTAGCCACTGCTCAGCAGCTCGACGGATCCAGGCAATAACTCTTCAGTTTGGTTAGACTACTGAATCGTGTTATGTCCACGAGATGTTTAACCCAGCCAGTGGGAAACCTTTTTGGTAGAGTGGATTTTTCTTCTTTACAAAGATCTTTTCTCTGACCCATCTTGGCTTGAGCTCTTGTCAATGCAGCTGAAAATGCCTTTCTTTGCAGCTTATTTACACTCTCTCTGGCCTGGGCTGCCACTTCTCCAGCCGATCGAATAGGCCACTCGTCTACTGGCCACTTCAGGAACTCTGGTCCATTTTGCCATGTGGAATTCTCCTTCAAATCGTCAGGAGCGCCTCCTCTGGTTAAGATATCAGCTATGTTTAGATCTCCACGGATCCACCACCAGTACTTCACTGGCCCGGCGTTCTGGATTTCACCCACTCTATTTGCAAAGAAGGTTTGGTATCCATAATTGTCTCATTGGACAGCTCCTAGGACTGTCTGACTGTCCAGTAAGTGGAACCACCTCTTAATCTTCATTCGAGCATGCTTTTCCACGTACTTCCTGATCCTGGTTGCAAAGACTGCGCCACAGATTTCTGCCTTAATGGCATCTCCCTTTTGATTTAAGGGTGTCAGCTTGGCTTTGGCTTCCACAAACCTGACTACTATCAAAGCACAAAGAGGACTCAAATGCAGAGCTCACACAGTTTTAATCAGCAGAAGGGATTCCTGGCAGTACAGCACAACTGAACAAGTCCAAAAACTAACTAAATACACTCTCACAAAGTGTTACTGAGAGCAGGTTCACAGTACTCAACTGAAGAAGACAAACTGGCAAAGGAAACTGTTGCAAAGACACTTAAATGGAGATGCCAGGACCCAGGTGCAAGACATGAGGCAGATTAGTGAGGAGCCTCATGGCGTGAAGCTGCCTGTAATGAGACAGGAAGTGAATCCACAAAATAAAGCAGGAAGTACCAAAAATACAATAAAACCAGAAACAAGACTGCAAAGCACTCAACCTGCAGAATCACCCATGACATCACCCCCCGCCCCACGCACGGCGCCTGACGGGCCAGGAACATCCGGGTGCCGGTCATAAAAGTCCCGAATCAGGGAGGGATCCAAAACATCGCTCGCCGGAACCCAAGACCTCTCCTCAGGGCCATAACCCTCCCAGTCAACGAGGAATTGACGACCCCGACCCCGACGCCGCACAGCCAACAGCCGCCGCACAGAATAGACCGGGCCCCCCGCAACCATCCGGGGGGGAGGAGGGGGCCGGGAGGCAGGAACCAGCGCACTCTCCCTGGCCGGCTTAACCCGGCTAACATGAAACGTCGGGTGGCACTTCATGGACCTGGGGAGCTTGAGTCTAACAGCCACAGGGTTAACGACCTTTGACACAGGAAATGGCCCAATAAATCTCGGGGACAACTTACGAGAGTCCGTACGGAGGGCAAGGTCCCGAGTAGACAGCCACACCCTCTGTCCCACCCTGTAAGCCGGAGCAGGGACCCTGAGACGATCAGCAGCCAACTTGTAGGACGTAGTTTGTCTCAGGAGGGTGCGACGCGCCCTAACCCAGATCCTACGACAACGCCGAACAAGGGCATGGGCAGACCGGACGCTGACCTCCCCTTCTAGAGCAGGAAACAGAGGCGGTTGATAACCATACACACATTGAAATGGGGAAAGACCTGTAGAAGTGGTTGGCAAGGTGTTGTGGGCAAACTCCACCCACACTAGGTGCTTACACCACGTTGAGGGGCACTCAGCGGCAAGGATGCGTAGACCGGTTCCCAGTTCCTGATTTAGCCTCTCAGCCTGCCCGTTACTCTGGGGATGGTAACCTGAAGAGAGGCTGACAGAAGACCCCAACAGGGAACAAAGGGCCTTCCAAAAATGGGAAATGAATTGAGGGCCACGGTCCGAAACAATGTCAACCGGGAAACCATGGATCCTAAAAACCTGAGACAACAATACCTCTGCGGTCATCTTGGCCGTGGGTAACTTAGAAAGGGGAATGAAGTGCACCATCTTAGAAAACCTGTCGACTACAGTGAGAATAGTGGTATTACCTTCAGAAACAGGTAGCCCGGAAACAAAATCCAGAGAGATTTGTGACCAGGGCCGAGTGGGAACAGGGAGAGGGAGAAGTAGGCCCGAAGGACGTGTGTGGGAGGTCTTGTGTCGAGCACATACTGGACAGGCTGCCACATACTCAGCAACATCATGTCTCATAGATGGCCACCAGAACCGTTACTGAATTACAAACATTGTTCTCTTGACCCCCGGATGGCACGAAAAATGGGAAGCATGGGCCCAGTGAATAACCTGAGACATCTGGGTAGGGGGAACAAAAAGCCGGTTTGCAGGACAACCATCAGGGGCCTGAACCAAAGCAGCTGCCTGCTTTACCTGCTCCTCCACAGACCAGGTCACTGCTCCAACCACACAAGACAAGGGGAGGACTGGTGCTGGGACCTCAGGAACAGAGGAAACTGTTAGGCAGGTGGGACAGAGCATCAGGCTTCACATTCTTCGAACCGGGTCGATAAGACACAGTGAAGTTAAATCGTGTAAAAAACAAGGCCCACCTGGCTTGACGAGGATTCAACCTCTTGGCCCGTCTCAGGTACTCTAAATTTTTGTGGTCGGTCCACACGATGAATGGCAGCTTGGACCCCTCGAGCCAGTGGCACCACTCCTCCAAGGCCACTGTGATGGCCAATAGCTCACGATCCCCAATGTCGTAGTTCCCAGATAAAATTGAACCAGAGGACCAATCTATGTTAGGGTTATGCCGAACAAGCCAGGGATGACCCAAAATGACCGGGTGCCGAGGAAAATCAGACAGGAAAAACGTAATCATTTCAGAATGGTTATCAGCGAAAGTCACTTTAACAGGTCGGGTTCGACTAGACAGAGCACAACGGATGTCCATTCAAGGCGACAGCCTGCAGGGGCCTTTCAAGAGGCAAAAAGTCTAAGTTCAATTGTCTTGCAAATTGAGCATCCATCAAGTTAACATCTGCACCAGAGTCAATGAGCACCACCAGCTCAACAGTCTTTTCAGGAGTGGAGAGCTGGACAGTGGGGCTTGCACGTTGGATGTCATTAGAAAAGGAGGTGCAACTCACCAACGAAAACCTCCTTAGAGGTCCCTTCTTGTTTACTGGACAGTCGCTGACTTGGTGACCCGGCTGGCCACAATACAGGCAGAGACCCTCCCGAAAGCGGTGTTGACGTTCCTCAGGTGGAAGGTGGGCTCTGCCAATCACCATGGGCTCCTCTGATGAAGCTGGTGAAGCTGAGGACACGTTGAGAGAAGAGTCAGGGGCTGACGCACGCCAACTGGAGCCACCATTAGCAGCGCCCCGCCTCCACCGGTCCGGAGGAGAAGGGAAGTTGAAACCTCTCTCTCGTTGTCGGTCTGTGAGCCTCTTGTCAATCTTGATCGCCAGAGCGATGAGAGAGTCCAAATCCTCCGGCAGATCCAGAGGGGTTAACAGATCCTTGAGTTCACTGGAAAGACCACTCAAAAAGGCATCAAAAAGTGCTGATTGATTCTAGTCACATGCAGCAGCCAAAGTACGAAATTCAATAGCATAATCAGCGACACGTCTCCTCTTCTGCTGCGGCTGACATAGAGCTCTGGCAGTCTCCCTCCCAGGCCTGGTGTGCTGAAAAATTTGAGTGAAACGCTTAGTAAAAAGATCAAGTGACTTACAAATGTCCGCGTCGCGCTCCCACTCGCTCGTGGCCCAAGCCTCGGCCCTGCCCGAAAGGTGGGAGATGAGAAAATCAATCTTGGCTCTCTCCGTGGGGAAAGAGAAGGGCTGCAGTTCAAAGTGGAGGCTACACTGTGTCAAAAATGCTTGACAATCACCAGAGTCCCCAGAAAACCTCTCAGGATGAGCAAGATGAACAGATAGGCCAGGGGATGCAGAGAATGTTCCAGGAGTCACCTCCACCTCGTTACTCTGGGGCTGCGGCATGTGGTTCTTCTCTGGAGGCTGGGTTGAAGAGGTCTGGAGCTGCTGCACCTTCTCCACCAGGTAACTGAGTTGATCACTGACAGAGGTAGCAAACTGATCATGTCGAGCATTGAGTTACCCCATCTCCTGGTGCAGTAGGCTCATCTGTTGTTCCTGTTGGAGGAGCCTCTTCCCCTGAGCCCCCAGGGCCCCCAAAACTGAGTCAGAGCTTGCTGAGTCCATTAGTGGCCAGTTTGTACTATCAAAGCACAAAGAGGACTCAAATGCAGAGCTCACACAGTTTTAATCAGCAGAAGGGATTCCTGGCAGTACAGCACAACTGAACAAGTCCAAAAACTAACTAAATACACTCTCACAAAGTGTTACTGAGAGCAGGTTCACAGTACTCAACTGAAGAAGACAAACTGGCAAAGGAAACTGTTGCAAAGACACTTAAATGGAGAAGCCAGGACCCAGGTGCAAGACATGAGGCAGATTAGTGAGGAGCCTCATGGCGTGAAGCTGCCTGTAATGAGACAGGAAGTGAATCCACAAAATAAAACAGGAAGTACCAAAAATACAATAAAACCAGAAACAAGACTGCAAAGCACTCAACCTGCAGAATCACCCATGACAAATACAATGCCTTGACTTGTCTCCCATCTTAAGTACATCACAGCTCCATAGGATTTATCACTTCCATC